CCCCCCTGAGACCAGCCAATCAGATGGAAGGGACTGGAGACATATTAACCCCAGAGTGACGTTCTGGTTCCAGCTATCGTTCTGCTATACACAGTCCAACGTCCGGTGCTCTCGGGCGATCAGAACCAGAAGTACCATAAAGAGACCCAGTTATCAGAACTCCTCCCTATTGTGTGGTAGAACCTCCATGTTTAGTGTCAGGCGTCTTTGTGCCACCGCTCTGCACCGGAAGGTTCTCTGGTCATACGTGGGACGGGAGGTAACACGCATGACCCGTCCTCGGACATTGAAGAACACACAAAGGGGAGGAGACACGTTGTGTACGAAGTCCAGGAAGACCCTCCCACGGCGCGAGCTCCACCAATCACCATTCACTTCAATTCTCATCTTCATGCAGATCATTAAAGTGAAAGTACACTCCGAACATGAACCCTAAAACTCCATTCCAGGCCCTGAACCAGACCGGTCCTTATCTGTGCACATCCTCCAATCACTGTCCTTCCTTCTGGAGGGGGGCCACGTCTGTTCCCCATGGTCCCTGCTCCAAGCTCCGCCCCTGGGATGGACTACAATCTCAGGTTTAGTTTACTGATTTGTATTGGGATTGTAGTCCATCCACAGCGGAGTGTCCACACAATGTCCAGCCAATCACATGGAAGGACCGAATCCACACTGATTTCTGATTGGCTGAGGGGAGATCAGCTGACCTGCAATTAACTCCTTGGCTCCTCCTGGGCAGTAATGTTCCTGGTATTGGTCACTCTTCATTCTTCTCCTGGCCCCGCCTCCTTCCTCATTTATAAAACCGGAAGTCCCCAATCATTCGCAATCGCATTTGCCACCATCATAATCCATCACCTCATCGAAGAAGTGACCGGAAATATGTGTTTATATTTAAGGAATAAAGAGTACAATTATTTCAATAACAAATAAAACTTTATTGTCAAAGAACAAACACACCAATGAAATAAAGAACAGACACAACCGCTGGAACACTCACAACTCATGCATATATCACTGCCCTTCCCCCCGCGATCCCTGACCGGCTCCCTCACCCGCTACTCACTCCACTCTGTCACTGGTCCTAGCTTACCTTTTATTACCGCCTACCGCCCAATCACGGCCTGGGACAGCAGGTCATGTCCCGCCCTGTGCCCAATCACGGCCCGCGAAACCTGAGCAAATCCCGCCCTCTCACGCATGATTTTCCTACGCTAGGGGGCGAGGCCAGCAGTCAAAAGTTGTAAGCCACGCCCACTGTGATATATTCTCTCCTCGCGTTACCTCCAGCTTTCCTTTTTCAGATTTAGCCCCGCCCCTTCTGTCCCGCTCATCCAATGGTGCGCTGTGACGTCGGCGAGGACCGTCGCTGCGCTGCAGCGTCATTCATGTGAGGAGCCAAAGCCATCGCTGATTGGACCGGTGGTGCGGGCGGAAGTGGTTGGCGCTGCGAGGATAAAGATGCCCGGAGGAGAGATGCGGAGGGGAGGGGGTGAGGAGAATTTGGGGTGGTGTGAGTAATGATGGGGGAGAGGTGACAGAATTTGGGGTGGTGTGAGTAATGATGGGGGAGAGGTGACAGAATTTGGGGTGGTGTGAGTAATGTGCTCAAAGACAGAGGGGTGCGGAGTAAGAGGTGTCTGCAGGGCGTTATAAGAGGAGGGTCAGGGGTTATAAGGGGAGGGTCAGGGGATTATAAGGGGAGGGTCAGGAGGTTATAAGGGGAGGGTCAGGGGGTTATAAGAGGAGGGTCAGGGGGTTATAAGAGGAGGGTCAGGGGGTTATAAGGGGAGGGTCAGGGGGTTAGAAGGGGAGAGTCAGGGGGTTATAAGGGAAGGGTCAGAGTTTCTGGTAGGAGGGTCGAGGGGGCAGAATGACTCCGCCCAGTGTTTACACTGTTCCCTCCATGTTGTGTCCCCCCAGGGCCCGCTCTGCCGGGGAAGAAGCAGAAGGTGCTCCGCATACACAAAGCACTGACCTCTGACCCCATAGATATGGACACCCTCCGGGAGGTGGCGGTGAGTGATGGCGGACTGTTCAGCCAGGAGATCCGCAGGAAGGTGTGGCCCAAACTGCTCAACATCAACATCTTCTGCCTGCCGCCCAAACCAGGTCTGACTCCTCCCACTAGTCTGTACCCTGACTCCTCCCCCAAATACTACACATCTCAACACCATCCATGTGAGGAGCCATGACCTTAGATCTGTCCTGGCTCCTCCCACCAGCCAGAATGTGTCCTGACTCCTCCCCCAAATAGTTTACAGTTCAACCCCATCCATGACCCTAGATCTGTCCTGACTCCTCCCACCAGCCAGAATGTGTCCTGACTCCTCCCCCAAATACTACACAGCTCAACCCCATCCATGACGCTTGATCTATCCTGACTCCTCCCACCAGCCAGAATGTGTCCTGACTCCTCCCCCAAATAGTTTACAGTTCAACCCCATCCATGACCCTAGATCTGTCCTGACTCCTCCCACCAGCCAGAATGTGTCCTGACTCCTCCCCCAAATACTACACAGCTCAACCCCATCCATGACGCTTGATCTATCCTGACTCCTCCCACCAGCCAGAATGTGTCCTGACTCCTCCCCCAAATAGTTTACAGTTCAACCCCATCCATGACCCTAGATCTGTCCTGACTCCTCCCACCAGCCAGAATGTGTCCTGACTCCTCCCCCAAATAGTTTACAGTTCAACCCCATCCATGACCCTAGATCTGTCCTGACTCCTCCCACCAGCCAGAATGTGTCCTGACTCCTCCCCCAAATAGTTTACAGTTCAACCCCATCCATGACCCTAGATCTGTCCTGACTCCTCCCACCAGCCAGAATGTGTCCTGACTCCTCCCCCAAATAGTTTACAGTTCAACCCCATCCATGACCCTAGATCTGTCCTGACTCCTCCCACCAGCCAGAATGTGTCCTGACTCCTCCCCCAAATAGTTTACAGTTCAACCCCATCCATGACCCTAGATCTGTCCTGACTCCTCCCACCAGCCAGAATGTGTCCTGACTCCTCCCTCCACCCATAGCGTTGTCGGCCATTATAATTTGCACCTGACTCTATTGCTGGGTAAAGTAATTATCGGTGAGATTTGATCATGTGATCATTGTTTTACAGGCCCCGCCCTTCACGCCAATCACCGCGACTATAACCAGGTGGAGATGGATGTTCGCCGTTCACTGAGGAGATTCCCGAAAGGTTTGCCGCCCCCCTCTCGGTCATTGTGTGATGTCACAGGTGGGGGGAGGGGCAGACGTGTATTAATCTCCTCCCTCTTCCTCAGGGATGGCGGAGGGCGAGCGCTCAATCTTACAGGGGCAGCTAACAGACATGATCCTCTACGTCCTCCGGAACAATCCGGAACTCCACTACTACCAGGGTTACCATGACATCGCCGTCACTCTGCTCCTCACTGCCGGCGCGCGGATGGCAACCGCCATGCTCCAGACTCTTTCCACCCACCACCTCCGGTACGTTGTCACCCCTCATACCGGGGTGTAGTGTGTCATGTGACCTGGGCTGTGCACAGCCAATCATATGGGGTTGTGGCAGCACACTGGGAAGGGGCAGATAAGGAGGGGATGAGTGGGGGGGCAGATGAGGAGGGAATGAGTGGTGGGGCAGATGAGGAGGGAATGAGTGGGGGGGCAGATGAGGAGGGAATGAGTGGGTTGTCACTCTCTCTCAGGTCGGAGGCGGGCTCTCTCTCCTACCGCTGCATATTAATACACGCGTGTCACTCTCTCTCAGGTAGGAGGCGGGCTCTCTCTCCTCCCGCTACATATTAATACACGCGTGTCACTCTCTCTCAGGTCGGAGGCGGGCTCTCTCTCCTACCGCTGCATATTAATACACGCGTGTCACTCTCTCTCAGGTCGGAGGCGGGCTCTCTCTCCTACCGCTGCATATTAATACACGCGTGTCACTCTCTCTCAGGTAGGAGGCGGGCTCTCTCTCCTCCCGCTACATATTAATACACGCGTGTCACTCTCTCTCAGGTCGGAGGCGGGCTCTCTCTCCTACCGCTGCATATTAATACACGCGTGTCACTCTCTCTCAGGTCGGAGGCGGGCTCTCTCTCCTACCGCTGCATATTAATACACGCGTGTCACTCTCTCTCAGGTAGGAGGCGGGCTCTCTCTCCTCCCGCTACATATTAATACACGCGTGTCACTCTCTCTCAGGTCGGAGGCGGGCTCTCTCTCCTACCGCTGCATATTAATACACGCGTGTCACTCTCTCTCAGGTCGGAGGCGGGCTCTCTCTCCTACCGCTGCATATTAATACACGCGTGTCACTCTCTCTCAGGTAGGAGGCGGGCTCTCTCTCCTCCCGCTACATATTAATACACGCGTGTCACTCTCTCTCAGGTCGGAGGCGGGCTCTCTCTCCTACCGCTGCATATTAATACACGCGTGTCACTCTCTCTCAGGTCGGAGGCGGGCTCTCTCTCCTACCGCTACATATTAATACACGCGTGTCACTCTCTCTCAGGTCGGAGGCGGGCTCTCTCTCCTACCGCTGCATATTAATACACGCGTGTCACTCTCTCTCAGGTCGGAGGCGGGCTCTCTCTCCTACCGCTGCATATTAATACACGCGTGTCACTCTCTCTCAGGTAGGAGGCGGGCTCTCTCTCCTCCCGCTACATATTAATACACGCGTGTCACTCTCTCTCAGGTCGGAGGCGGGCTCTCTCTCCTCCCGCTACATATTAATACACGCGTGTCACTCTCTCTCAGGTCGGAGGCGGGGTGTATCTTCGCCCTGAGTTGGCTGATCACATGGTACGGACACGTTCTCGCTGACTTTCACCAAGTTCTGCGTCTCTATGATTTCTTCCTGGCCTCCCACCCGCTAATGCCCGTCTACTGCGCGGCCCAGGTACTGTGTGTGTGTGTGGACGGATGTCGGGGGCGGGGTCAGGTACTGATTGTGTGTGTGGACGGATGTCGGGGGCGGG